GCCGCCTGCGCGCCGAGCCCGGCGACGGGGAGCAGACCTGGGCCCGCTTCGCGCGCCCTCCGGCCCCCGAGGCCGCGGGCCTCATCCACGACACCTTCCCCGACGGCTTCCTCTGGGCCGTGGGCAGCGCCGCCTACCAGACGGAGGGCGGCTGGCAGCAGCACGGCAAGGGCGCGTCCATCTGGGACACGTTCACCCACCAACCCCCGGCGCCCTTAGGCGGTCCCCTGGTAGCCGGCCTACCGACGGGCGCCCCCTCGCCGTCCCCGCCTGCCACCGGGGACGTGGCCAGCGACGGCTACAACAACGTCTTCCGAGACACGGAGGGGTTGCGTGAACTCGGGGTCACTCACTACCGCTTCTCCATCTCGTGGGCGCGAGTGCTCCCCAATGGCAGCGCGGGCGCCCCAAACCGCGAGGGGCTGCGCTACTACCGGCGCTTGCTGGAGCGGCTGCGGGAGCTGGGCGTGCAGCCCGTGGTCACCCTGTACCACTGGGACCTGCCCCAGCGCCTGCAGGACGCCTACGGCGGCTGGGCCAACCGCGCCCTGGCCGACCACTTCAAAGATTACGCCGAGCTCTGTTTCCGCCACTTCGGCGGCCAGGTCAAGTACTGGATCACCATCGACAACCCCTACGTGGTGGCCTGGCACGGCTATGCCACAGGGCGCCTGGCCCCTGGCGTCCGGGGCAGCCCGCAGCTCGGGTACCTGGTGGCGCACAACCTCCTCCTGGTGAGTTCGAGGGGCCAGGCGGAGGGTCACGCGGGGAGAGGGCCTCTGGAGACGCCAGGGGCAAGAGGGGTGCCTGAGCCTCCAGCTCAGACAAGGCTCCATTTGACCAAGTTTGTGAGGTCACCTAGAATTCGCCCCCCGAGGGGAAATGAACAGCTTGGGCTTCCCTTGGAAGGCGTGGAGTTGGGAATGGGAGGGAGATCCCGCGTTGGGCGCGCGAGTGAGTGCCCTTTGGCGCACATTCGTCAAAAAGAAATTAGAATCAGTTTCTTCAGTGAGAGGAGGGAGCTCCTTTCTCTGGGTCTAGGGGAATTCCTAGAGGTGAGGCGGGGAGAATTTACGAGTAGTAGCTACAGGGAGATGAGGAGGGATGAAAGACACGAGTTTGTTCGGAAGCCGCACAAATAGCATTACTCTGCTAGAGTTTGTGGTGATGTCATGAGTTCAATGTAAATCCTGTAAGATCTGTGTTGCTTGTGGCACAAGTTCACACTGCAGCAAATGCGAAGGTGTCAAAAATCCCATCTTCTGGAGAGCCGAGTTTAAACTGTCTTTGGGAGTTCCTTCTGTGGCAGGGGACTGCTGCATCCACCAACTTGACTGAATCATCAGGAGTCTGAAGACTCCTTACACATTCTTAAGCAAAGCTAGCCATAAAAATACAGAAACAGCTACAGGGTAATATAGATTGTGTCTTACAACAACTGTATTTCCAGGATGCTCTCTCCAATTGAAAGGATTCCTCAGGGATGAGATTATTAGCTGACAAAATTGATTTTAACACCCTTGTGTAAAAGGCTTAATACATTTTGACAGCAGGAAGTACTGACATGCCATGATAAAGTTGTCTCTCAAATAATTCTTCCTCCTTTTTCTCCTTTACTTAGTGTTCAAGAGTAGGTCCCATTGATTTGGGGGATCATTTATAATAATGTCAGTGTTGGTACACTTCATAGAGTTTTGTATCATGAGAGAATATTTTATGTGTATGTGCAGACATTTGCATGAAACTTTAAATGGGTAACTTCTGGTACTGTATTTTGGTGATTTGTGGGCCTACTGGAAGACCTATTTTTAAATTTAGAATTAAATTACGTATTTTGAACAAATTCAAGACAAAGACCACTTCTGCACACTTATAATTGAAGCCATAGGTAACTGAGGCAGAACAGTGCTGGGCTGTTGAGCTGACTTAGTGCTCTGAGCTGCCGGTAATGTTGTAATAATGGCTAAATTAGATTGTATGTTAGCTCCACAAAAACTGTTTGCTACAGGTCATAAAAGAATGTTGGACTTTGATGAAAAAATAAATGTGATTTTAGTGATTTCCTTTTGATATGTATCTTTTCATTAAGATACTTTAGAGCAATGGTAATAAACTTTTTCAGTCTGTCAGTCCTTTTAAAGAATCAAGACTCCAAACACCACCTGTTTATCGTTGATGATAGAAAAACTATGGGAAGAATTGGGCTCCTCTTTTGAAGAAAACATAAGCAAATTTCAGTTCATACCAGAAACAAATAAGAGATTTGTGGACCAGCTGGAGGACCTAAGAGACCATTTCTGCAAAATCACTATTTTAGATTTAAGTCATGCAAATTCTCTTTTTAGAGTGCATGTAATAAACTCTGTATGTATACGGAAGTCGTCAGTTTTTATTATAGTGACTTATGTGATCATTTCATTTATATGATAAGGAGTTGGGACTGAGGAGCTTTCTGGTACTCTGGTATTTTAAATAGCCAACATGCTTTTTATTCGTGTGCCCACTCTCGGCCCTTTGATTAACTTTTCAGTTATATTTCTGTATCCTTACAGAAAAAACTTGCCAAACACTAACCATCCTTCCCAGAAATGCAGTGGACTTTGTATTCATAAGAAATTAGTAACAGGTGGATCCTTGGTTTTGCTGATGCTGCAAACAAAATGCTAGTTGCTGTAAAATATTAATTTTGCTTTCGAATTTCTTTGGTTTGGAATTTAGTCATTCCTGTATCTTATGAAGAAGTAAGTTCTCATTATCAAAGAAGGTATCTTAGTTTTTTCGTATGAGATATTTTCATCCTGTTTTCAGTGTTCTTTCTTGGTATATGTGTTGGGGGGAGGGAGATAGGGAAGTTTTGACCTTATTTGAAAAGATAAAACATGATCTGCAGATTTTGGTAATAGAGCATTTTAGCGGGGGCTTAGATATTGCTGTTTGGGACCACTGAGCTCCTAGCATATTCATTTGCCTTTGGGGATCTGATGCTGGGGAGAGAGAAAGCTGGCCAGCAACCCTTCCCTGCCCTATTCTGTGCTTCCACTAATTTACAAGTGGGCTAAGGAGAGCTCCTGGGGAGACTGGACATTTGACCTCCCAAGAGAGTCAGGAGTTGTGTCTGATGGCCTGGAGGATGGGAGGCAGGCCAAACAAACTGCAGGATGAATAATGGGGTCTCTGCTCAGAATGGAGGTCTCCATGTTCTTTTGTGGGTTCTTGGTACTGGGGTAAACCTTGACAAACATAGCATGTATGTGTATATGTGAGAGAGAGAGACAGAGACACAGAGACACAGAGACAGAGGCAGAACTGGAAGAAGGATTTCCCTGCAGAGCTCTAGGAGCCCATGCTGCTTGGATCATGTGAGTATAACCCAGAAAGAGGACACACCGTCTCTCTCTAACTTGAAGAGGGACTGACTGCTGTGCCTTCACAGCTCTTGAAAGATGGTTCTTGATGTCCCCTGACAAACTAGCATTGAGGCCTGTAGTGGGGCGTTCAGCCCAGTGGTGTCTCTGAGTTTTTGTTCTGCCCATGGGTTTCTGAGAGTACCAGGACCAAGTTGAAGACACACATGGGCCTCGCAAAGGGTCTTGCAAATGTTTGTACAGGGAACCTGTGGGAAAAGACAGCTTCTTTCGCCTAAAGAGATAGAGCTAGAAGATATTACCATGGGCATTAATGTATAGTACAGGCATGACTGGTGTCTGGCTACGCATTAGCATCAATGCTCACGTCTTAGCTGATCTGTCTGCAGCATTGTCTAGCCACTACTCTCTCTTTCTTGACCCGTTTCCTCAGCTTGGCTTCGAGAACCCGAATATCTCTTGCTTCTCCCCTCAGCTCACTAGCGATTCCTTCTCAGTCCCCTGCTTATTCCTCCTCACTGTAGCTCTAAATGTTGCAGTGCCCAGGGCTCCGTCCTGGGGCCTCTTCTCTAGATTCAATCCAAGTGATCTCTTTGAATACTTTCTATATCCTAATGACTCCGAATTTTGAGGCTTTAGCCAGAAATTCTGCCCTGAGCTCCAGACTTGGATAGACAGATGCCTTCTCCACTTAAATGTCCGATGGGCCTGTCACATTTAACACATCCAAAAGCAATCACCTGTTTTTCCCATCTCTGTCGTGGCAACTTTGCTCTGTCAGAGGTTGGGCCCCAAACTTTAGCTCCTCTCTTTCTCTCACATCATATTCTCCGTCCATTAACAAATCCTACAGCTCTACCTTCCTTCAAAATGTATCCATAATCCAACTACTTCTCCCTTTATCTACAGCTACAGGTCCAGCCTGTAGCATCCATTGGCTTCTGCCTGGACAATGGGAATAGCTTCCTAGCTGATGTCCTTTCTTCTGCCCTTGCCCCCTGCAGTATGCCATGATGGATATTCTCAAGGATGTCATTATGTGTGAACAAGACAAAGTCCCTGTGTATTAAAAGCCCACCTTTTCTTCAAGAACCAGCTCACATACTCCCTTTGGCCTCACACCTGAATGCCATCTCTTCCTTCTGTGCACTCACACAGTGCATCACTCTGATGCCTCCTACCACACTCTTCCTTTTATTTAACCATTTGCCTCCTTTTACTGCTCCACTAGTCGGGGAATTCCTTAAGTGAGGAAACCATGTTCACTTCATCTGTCCTAAAATACCAGCTTGCCCTTGGTAGGTGCTTAGTAAGGGCCGTCTGGCTATTTAATAGCCTGACTTTGCCTTTGTAAAATGATGCTCCTAGGATTTCCTCTCTTTGTCCATCTTTCCAGCCACTTTCCAGTGGGACAAGAAGTATCAAATCCTAACCAAATAGGAAGATTGGTAAACATAATGGGGCAAAATCTGACATTTTCAGTAAAAATTTAAGGTTCATCATCAAATTTATGACTCCATTGTAAAAATTTCCCAACAATTAAAAACTATCTACAGTCAGTGTGCAACATTATGAAGAAGTGTTCAGAATGGGAGATGGGGAGGTCTCCTGGCTGGCTTTAGGAGCATGTATTAGAAGTGGCTTTGTTATCTGAATTTTGATTTCCCAAGTAATAGTGGAGGCAATTTGTCTACTAGATACATGCTCAAATTATAGATGCTATATACTTTTGGGAAGCTCTTTACCAATTTTCCTCTCATTAAAATGTATTTGGTACATGAATGGAATAATCAACTGGGTTGAAATTGAATGTATTTTGTAGAATCCTACTGAATTCAGTAGTGTGTTTAATCAGAAATAGTTAAAATATCTCCCAAAGAGCTTAACTCACTCTTCTTTGAATATCTGATTGCACACAGTGTTTTTTGAAGATTACAGTCAAGTCCATGAAAAAAATTTAAGAATAGGAAAAGAAGTAATAAAATAATTTTAAAATTATAGCACTGTTTAATGATGCCAGTTATTTCGAATTGGAGAAAATACAGACTACTAAGCATTCAAATAATGTCAGTGTGCATTTCTTGAGTGCAAAATGAATGAATGCACAACTGTGGCACCTGAGTATGTAGTTAGTTGCGGCGTTTGCACATAGAAGTCTTCTAAGATATCTTAATTTTTCAAACAATATGATTGCTCTAAGCCAGAACTGTTATAATTAATTTGTACAAAAGGTATCTTTCTTTCAATGAATGTTATCTGTTTAAGGCATAAAGGAAATTTTAGGTGTAGGAGGAGACTAGAATACATGCCTATTGGGAGGACAAGAAATCAGGAGTGGGTGAGTAAAAATACGTGCTGTTACTGAGTCC